AGCCTTCCAAGTAGCTAGGATTACAGATGCCTGCCACAAGGCCCAGCTATTTTTTAGAAATGAGGTCTTGTTCTTGCTCAGGCTGGTCTTGAACTCCTGAGCTCAGGTGATCTACCTGCCTTGGCCTCCCAGAGTGCTAGAACTAGAGGTATAAGCCCCCGCACCTGGCCACTATACTTTTTGTTTTTAATTTTTTTTTAGAGACAGAGTCTCACTTTGCCACCCTCGGTAGAGTGCTATAGTGTCACAGCTCACAGCAACCTCCAATTCCTGGGCTTAGGCGATTCTCTTGCCTCAGCCTCCCAAGTAGCTGGGATTATAGGCGCCCACCACAACACCTGGCTATTTTTTTTGTTGCAGTTCGGCCGGGGCCGGGTTTGAACCCTCCACCCTCAGTATATGGGGCTGGCGACCTACTCACTGAGCCATAGATACCTCCCTATACGTCCTATATGGTGTTTTTCTGAACCTCAAGGCCAGGAGCATTCCTACCCCAGGACCTTTGCATTTATGGTTCCCCTGCCTTCCGGACCTTTCTAGCATGTGACCTCACTCCAGCTGTGCTCAAAGGGCACCTACTCAGGGAAGACCTCCTCCACCACCTGGCTAGATGTGACTTTTTCTCCCCCTAGACACTCTGCCACAGGGCCCACCTGGCGCTTCTTGCAACACAGTGTGATACGACTCTGGAATGACCTTGTGCACTTACTCTGCAAGGTATCATCTGTCCCATCCACAGGACCCACAAGAGCAAGCCTGTACACTGCCAGTCCTCTGCGGCTGGACCTGGGCCCAGCTCACTGTGTTTTTGGAAAGAAGGGAAGAAAGGAGGCCCACTCTTTCACAGAGGAATGATCTTGAGCAGCTATGTGGTATGGTACGATATGGAAGGTACTAGAACCATGAATGGGAGGTCCCTCCAGACAAGACCCCCAGCACTTTAGGAACACACCCAGATTGACAGCTAACAAAGAGCCAGCCCTGTGGCTACGATTTGAAAGGTTCTCAGGGCACCCCACAGAGCAAGAAGAGGCCTGCCACTGTGACATTGCCTCAGCAACTTGTCCCCAAGGGAGGCCAGGTCCCCAGGCTAGCCTAAAAGCCCTGGCTAAGCCTATTGAGCTACGCAAAGCAGGCTTGAGGGGGGAGGTCACCTTCAAGCCAACCATCAATGGCAATCCTTTCCTGGGAGAAAAGTATGCTGAGCCCAATGGCCTTTTGAAGGTGACCCACTTGCAAGGTGAAGGGAGTTGAATTCTGCAGGCACAGCAAGGGCCTATTCTTAGGCCAGGCACAGTGGCTCACACCTAGAATCCCAACACTTTGGGAGGCCGAGGTGGGAGGATAGCTTGAGACGATGAGTACGAGAAAGGGGCTACTCTCAGCATGTGGCAGCCATGCTGGAACAACAGAAACTGTCACTCGGTACAAGCCACATGTCAGGTGGCATCTCAGGCAAACCCTAAGACCCTGTCAGGTAGGACTGACACCCCTACCTCACAGAAGCAGAAACCGAGCCTTAGAGAGTTTAAAGAACCACAAGATCACACAGCTGGTAAAGGGCAGAGCTGGGGTATGATCCTGGGTCTGACCTGAGAGCACCATTGCCATCTACAGACTGCTGTTGTGTGTGTCCTGGCCATGGAGGGTGGCTAGCAGGCTTCTCTGACCCGCACCTCACTCACACCCATGGCCCCACCATCATTGCTGTGGGTCAGCCTGGGCAGGGAGTGCACCCAGAATGAGGCATCGGCTCAGGACGAGGGTGCAGGGGCATAAGGTGTGCACAGCCAGCTCCTCCTTAGGCTCAAGAAGCTGCCCTTGAAGTTTCTGTATTCTCACCTTGGCTCCTTATCAAGAGGTACTCCTAGGCTTAAGCTTTCTTTTTTTTTTTTTTTTTTTGAGACAGAGCCTCAAGCTGTCCCCCTGGGTAGAGTGCCGTGGCTTCACAGCTCACAGCAACCTCCAACTCCTGGGCTCAAGCGAGTCTCCTGCCTCCGCCTCCCAAGTAGCTGGGACCACAGGCGCCGGCCACAACGCCCGGCTATTTTTTGGTTGCAGCCATCATTGTTGTTTGGTGGGTCCGGGCTGGATTCGAACCCGCCACCTTAGGTGTATGTGGCTGGCGCCTTAGCCACTTGAGCCACAGGCGCCGAGTCAAGGTTTAAGGTTTCTGTGGGCCCAGGCTGAATCTGGTTCTCCCACCCACACTCATTCTGGCCCAAGCCCCTTCCACCCTATACTCCCCCCCACTGTCAGATGATCAAGGAAGTGGGAGGACAGCCGCCTCTCACATTGCACAGCTTTTTATTTCTCCTTAGCCCTGCCAGTCAGCGCCTGGTGACCAAGGGACAAAGATGCCTAAGACCCAGGCTTGCATCTTTGGGACCTCAGTATTGGGGATGGGATCCAGACAGAGACGCTCAGGGGACTCAGCCCTTTTGTTCTTTTTTAGCAGCTGGCTGGCGCCAGGCCTTGGAGATTCCAAGAACCACTGATGAGTTTACAACCTACAAAGCTGCCTTGGGAAACAATGGTTTTTCTTGGAAGGCAATAGCTTCCGTATGACACTTATCACTTGCTGTCACTCCCTGATTACAAACGTTCAGGAAGAGGTGTGGGGGGAGGATTCTTTACAGCCTGGGACTGCCCACCTGGGTGTGAGAATGGCCTGAGGGTAACAAGAGGCGGAGAGCAATTTACCTGGCTCTTGGGCAGACTGCATGACAGCCAGTGGCTGGTCCCATAGCTGGGCTGACAGTGAGGTCTGGAGTCCCAGGGAAGGGGCAGGCAGGGACTGGCCATGGCCCTGAGTTTCCTCTACCCCACACAGGAGCCACAGTCTGAGGGGTTTGGGGCCATCCAGGCTGGCTGCCAGTGGCCCCAACATGCCCCAGAACTGTGCACAGGGCAACAGGCTGGGCCCTCCCAGTTTAGGTACAGAAGGTTCACTTATACCCTTGGTCCTCTCCCCACCTCCCAAGGCTCAGGCACTAACGGGGATCTCAGAGACTCTCAGACTCCCTTTTCCAAAGCTACAAGGCTACTTGGCCCAGCCCAAAGGGAAGAAAGCTGTTCAAATACCCGAAGGGACCCTTATCAGAAGAGCCTTATTCTAAGCCCCCGCAGGAGGCACCCTGGGATCAGGAGTGGCAATTACTTGGAGGGAGCATCCCCTTCCCCTCAAGTGACCCGGAAGGCCTTCTAGCAATGTCCAAGCTAGGGGACCCTGTCCCCAGAAGTGTCAAGTCCATCAGACTGGCTGCCTCAGTGTCTGGGAGTGCAGCTGGCGCTGCAAAAGGAATGCTTGCCTTTGGGGGAGATTCCTGGAGCTCCCCTCTGCTCAGATGTTCTAACATACTCTCAATTTCAGCCACAAACTAAGCCACCCTCAGCCTTATGATTTTTTTTTTGTTTTTATGAGATATTAAGGACTTTTAGAGGGTCAAAAGTTGTGTGAAGGAGAATATTATTTTGTTAAATGTGTCAACATCCAGTGTCCAGAGGGCTGGTGTGTGGCATTCAGTGCAGCAAACAGCCACAGCTCGTGGGGTGCAGTTATATTCCCCCATCCTTGCACAAAGAGATTTCAGCAAATAGCATCCATCACATTTATACTTTTGGCCAACGTCTGGGTTCTGGTGTAACCACCTCTCACAAAGCCCCGGTCTCTCCAACTTTCCCCAAAACATCTTAGAAGTTTCAGAAAGTACCCTTGTGATTCCTGACCCAGCCCCAACTTCCTCCAGAGAGCAAGCTGGGAGCAGGTCCAGGAGTAAACAGCAGCTTTCCCCAGCCTGCCTCCAGACGGTAAGTCCAAGAGTCCCCGCTGTGGCAAACGTGTCATCTGGCAGACGGGTCACCCGCCACTAGTTTATTTATGCAGTTGGAGGCCCTCCATTTATGCAGTGGGAGGTGGCCAGCAACCCGGAGTCAGGGCAGCTTTACTCCTTAGTGTGAAATGTACAGCTCCTGAAATCCAGATTAAACCCCCAAATACTCTTTGTCTCCTATGGCCAGAATAAGGCAGGATGTCTGGGTGGGACCATAGGATTTCTCGACAGCCACACCCCAGTGGACACAGAGCAGCAGGACCAGGCAGCAGGGCTGAGGGCAGTGGATCTGCAAACCCAGAGGATCCAAGGAAGATGCTTCTTCACTTCCTGAGATGAAGCAGGTGGCACCCGCAGAGCAGTCAAGGACCCCAGGCCCACAGCTTCTATCTCCGTATGGGGAGGAAGTCCCTGTCCAGGACAGGAGCACTGCAGCTGCACACATCTGGCTCCCAAGATGCCTCCTGCTCGGGGACCACTGGGGACATTCTGAGATGACAGAGTTGATCCTGGGCCTGCGGGCTACGGAACAGGGCAAGGGGACAGCTCCAGGAGGGCGCTGGGCCTCACCCTGCAGAGTGCCATGCAGCAGCGGCCACTGAGACTGTGCCAGCCAGTGACGCCCTATCCTTTAACTTCCCTTCTGACTCAGAAGAAACCATCATCCCAGGCTCTGTGCCCACAGGGGGCCACATTTACAGGAACTGGGGGCTGGTGGCCTGTCAGAAAAGCCTGGTGGCCATCACTGTGGGGCTCAGGTAGAGGGGGCCATGGAGGTGCAATCGGGGACCTAAAGCCAGCCTCACAGCCTCTCCCTCAGTGGGACTGGGCCTGGTGGCCAGTGTCTAATGCCCAGGACCCTGGGGCCAGTAGCAGTCGCCAGTCCCTGCTATCAGTCTGTTGCCCCGGTTATTAGGATCCAATCTCCTTGGAAAATCTCTTCTGTACAAGCCCTGGATCCCCTAGGTGTGTGTGTGGGGGGGGGGCAACTAAGTGGGAGAGATAAGCAGAGACCACCAGAACCCCTGCACTGGCGGTTGGTCCACCATGAGATGCTGGAATCTCGGTTCAGGCAGGGCTCTGCCCTCATGCTTGGTGCCACCAGTGCCACCCTGGCCTCCCCCAGAGGGCACCCCATTGCCTCTGAGCCCCAGCCCAGGCTAAACCTCACTTCCCAGAGGTGGTTATGGGTAAGGGGCCCTCCTTCCCTTCCTCCTCCACTGAGAACATGACGTCCCTGCAGCTGCCCAGAGGTGGCTCTGTCTCCTGCTCTGGGTAGCGGGGGGCATGGTCCACCTCTAGTTCTTCCTCGAGCTCAGGCCTCACCGGGCCTGCCAGGGCCTGGCCCTCAGGCAGCTCAGCCTTCACGGTCCCCACAATCACTGTGTCAGCCTTCATGATGTAGATTTTCTCTGTAAGGCAAAAGGATGTGTGAGGTGGGGAGGTCACAGCCCCCACCAAGAGGGGAGCAGGGAGGCAGATGGGGAATCAAGGCCCAGTTCTGCCTCTCCTGCTGGGCGACTTTAGGCAGATGACACAGACTCTCTGATGTACAAGGAGCCTTGCCGATCTTACAGGTGTCCTAAGGCTCAAAGGGAATACAACAGCTAGGACTGTGCCTTGAAAGGTTAAAAACCAGCCTGCTTGGTACTTAAGTGGGTGCTCGTGATTCTCTCAGCACTTCCTTCAGGGAAAAGCAAGGAAGAAGAGGACATGGTTGGGAGAGAAAGTAAACCGTGAAAGAAAACAGGCAAGGCTGTCGCTAACAAGAGCCCCAGTGGATGCCAGTGGAGCTGGGCACGTGCCTGGTGCTTCCATACACAGGTTCCCAAATCCTCAGCACTCCTGCAAGGCAGAGGCCCTTGCCCCTGCTTTACAGATGGGAGGCTGAAGCCCAGAGAGGTGCAATGATCTCCCCAGCCAGGAGAGATCCCAACGGGAACACCCACCTGCCTGGCTGCCCTCCTGCTCCCCTCCATGGGTCCAAAGCAGAAACCTGGGATGACCAACTTGGTCCAGTTTGCCTAGCATGTTTTTAGTTTCAGTACTGAAAGTCCCAAGTCCCAGGAGCCCCCCTTAGTAATCCAAGCAAACCCAACCAGCTGGTCACATCCTAGAGCAACCTCAGCCTGGCCAAAAGCAACAGCAGTCAGGATTCAGGGCCCCTCGCTTGGGGCTGTGCATTTTGGGCCTCACTGCTTAGGGCCACCTCCCACCTGCAGCCCTTGAGCCTGTGCCCAAGGGCACATAGTAGGTGCTGGGAAAGTCTCACCAGGACAATGGCTGAGCCCAGTCCATCAGAGGCATAATCCCTTGTGGTCCTTACCAGTCTGATATGGGGATTTCTGGTTTGGACTTTTGATAGAGGGGGCCTGGAAATTCAAGGGGCTCAGCGGCTTGAGAAGCTGGGGGTAGGGAAGCCTGGGCTTGTCCTGGATAGCTGAACCCACCTGCCAGCAACCCAGATGATAGCCTTGGACTCAGCACAGGGGCCAGCTCTGCCTTCGGCTCAGGAAGTTGAATGGGGAGTGTGAAGAGAAAACTTGAGAGATGGGGTGAAGCAGGGGTTCAGGGGCCCTTACTTCTCTGGGTAACCTGGTTATGCCTCTAAGATTCAGAAAGCCCAGCAAGATCTTTTCTTTCTTTTTTTGAGACAGAGCCTCACTCTGTTGCCCAGGCTAGAGTGAAGTGGCATCAGCCTAGCTCACAGCAACCTCAACTCCTGGGCTCAAGCGATCTTCCTGTTTCAGCCTCCCAGGGAGCGGGGATTACAGGCCTGTGCCAGCACTCTTAGCTAATTTTTTCTACTTTTAGTAGAGACAAGGGTCTTGCTCCTACTCAGGCTGGTCTCAAACTACAGAGCACAAGCAATCTTCCTGCCTTGGCTTCCCAGAGCGCTAGGATGACAGGTCTGAGCCCTGAAATGATTCTTGAGGGCTCCTGCACCCTCAACCCTATTGCATAATGCCAGCTCTTCTATTTTGCAGGAAACACAGAAATGTTCAAAAGAGTAATAAGAACTAGAGGGAAGACCAAAGAAATGGACAAGTTGTGGGCTGGGTCGCCCCCACCAAGTCCCTCAAACCAGAGAGCAGGGGCTCAGGCCTTGGTCCACACCTTGGCCCACACCTCCTTCAAGGCCTGCAAGCCCCTGGCTCTAGGAACCCTGACCAGAGAGGCTAGGCAAAAGATGGGGACCCCATCTGTGTTTATATAAACATGGCACCATCTATGTTGTGTTCCTGCCAAAACATCTAATCTGAATCTCAGGAGGTGAGAGAAGGCCCCAAGTGGGACAGACAGGAAGATAGGAGAGATGAGAGGTGGAAGGAGTAGGGTGGGAGAGAAGAAGGGTGGGTTTGCCACCCCTCTCACATTCCATGGGTCCTAATCCCTCTGGCCCTGCCCCATCACAGGGCTGCCCACCCCTGTAGCTGTGGGAGCATCTTCTAGAGCAGCAGTTCTCAACCTGTGGGTCACGACCCACAGGAACTGTATTAAAGGGCCACGGCATTAGGAAGGTTAAGAACCACTGTTCTAGAGGCTGTTTGGGCTTCTTGCCCCACCCAGAGATCCAGGATCCAAGGAATTTGTCTTGGGTGGAGTTGTAGGGAGGGGGCTCCCCCACCTGGTGCCCAGCTGGGAAGGGGCGAAGCTCCAGCCTGAGTTTGGTCCCTCTTGGGACCTGGATGGGAAGAACAACACTGGTCTAGGGTGGTATCTGGAGGTCAAGGGGGTCACCTGTGTCTCCGGTGTCCTAGGGAAGCTCCAAAGCCTCCCCTCCCCACCATCTTGCTCACCAGCAAGGCTTGCAGGCCACTCAGGGAAGGCTGCCCACACCCTAGTCCAGCGGCCCTGGGAGCCTGGAACCTCTTCCACCTCCCCTGCACACACTCCCCAAACCTCACCCCGCAATTAGAGTCACGGAATTAGGCACGGCACTCAGCATGGACTCCAATGGTCCAATTAGGACTTCTTAGGAAATTTGAAGGCAGCTTTGGCAGTATTTTCTGAACTACATACTTTTCAGATGAAACTTACTGAAAGCCACAACTGAAAGTTTTAATTTGCCACAGAAGACTCTGTCCTAAAGAGCTCTAACCACCAGCATCTACAGTAGAAATGTGCCGGACAATTACAAATACCTCTTCAGTATTATCTGAGTGCCAGTTACCCTTCCAGGGAAGACAGAGATGGGGCCCATTGAGGCCTTGCCCCTGGCGAGCTCATAGCCAGGAGGCTATGACCACACAGTCACACTGCTGGTGCTGGGGACACTAGGGAGGGGGATCCTGGGGTCTCAGGGAACATAACCGAGGGGCATCTGGCCTAATTAGGAGAGTGCAGAGGGCATGGAAGTCTTCCTGGAGGAGGATGTGGCAAATAAGCAGGGTCTCCCAATATATCAGGAATTAGCTAGATCCAAAGGGTGGAGTTGGCTGTTGTAGGTGAGGGAGCAGCTCCTACCAAGAAGCTTAGAAGTCAGAAGTACCTGGTAGATTCAAGAAACTGCTGTGAAGAGGGAGGGGTAGACTGTGGGGTTGGAGGCAGGGGAGTCAGATGGCAGGGAGGCAGCGTGTGACCGCCCTGAATGCTAGGATGAGAATGCTGGATTTCGTCCTGAAGGTTACGGGAACTACAGGGGTGTGGACAGGTGTGTAGAGCAGGAGTCTCACTCTTGAGGCTAGTCTCAAACTCCTGAGCTCAGGCAATTTGCCCCGCCTCGGCCTCCCAGAGTGCTAAGATTCCAGGCATGAGCCACTACACCTGGACCACATTTTACTTTAAAACGGCAGGCACCGTGTTCAGCATCTTACAGGCACTTTGATGAATTCTCACAGTGGCGTCATAAAGCAAATGCCTCAGCTGCCCCATTTTACAGAAACTTAGACTGAGGCAGAGCAAGCTGTGTGGCAGAATGCACGCCTTTCCCTTGCGGGGCCTCCCAGCCCCAAGTTCCCCCTGGTTCCTGTCCAAGCCCTGAGTCTCCCCTTTCCTGGCTGTACCAGAACCCTCCAAACAAGCCAACTCACCAATCTTGTTATTGGTGTTCTCCGTGGACACTCGGGGCTCAGGAAGGTCCCTGGGGGATGAGGGGCCCCCGGCGGGGCTGGTGTCCAGCAGCGGCAGGCTCTCCGGGCAGGCTGCCCCCGTGCTGAGGCAGCGCTCCACGGGCGGGGGTCTTGGCAACCCCAGTTTTTCTATGCCCAGCTTTGCCACTGATGTGTCCCTCTTTGGCTGCTGTGGAAAAGAACAGGACCTGATGCGGAACACCCCAACCCCCCTTATCTTCATCTTAGCCCTCTGAGTCACCTTCCTGCTTTACAGCAGCCTCGAGCTGCCCCCAAGCTTAGGGCCTTGAGTGCAAGGGACACCTGTGTGTAGCATTCCTCGTGAAACCCCTTACTTTTAATCTGTACCAACTGGTAAGGGTAACAGCAGCTCACGTGTGCGAGGCCCGGGTCCTATGTTGATACTCGACACACCACCTTATGAGGTGGGAACACTAGTACCCTTCCCATTGCACAGATGAGAAAACTGAGGCACAGAGAAGCCAAGTAACGTGCCTGGGGCTATACAGCTAGTAAGTACTTGAGCCAGGATTTGAACCCTGGCATCTCCCTCTACAATCCACGCTCCTTAGCACCACGGTCTGAAAGTGTCAGCTCCGGGCCACTGCCTCGGGGAGCACCTCCCTTCCAACTCCTCAGATAAAGATAAAAGATTAAGGACAAGGAAAGGATAACAAATAAAGGATTAAAATCATTTATAAACACAGCACCATCTATGTTGTGCTCTTGCCAAAACATGAACTCTGAATCTCACTATGAGGAAACAATCTTGTCCAAATGGTAGGATATTTTCAGACAAGTGGCCCAGATTTTTACAAAAACCAGAATTTTGGCAGATGGAATAGGGGTAGGGGGACAGAAGGACTGTTCTAGAATAATCCTAGATTAAAAAGACTTGACAGGCTCGGCGCCTGTAGCTCAAGCGGCTAAGGTGCCAGCCACATACACCTGAGCTGTTGGGTTGGAATCCAGCCTAGGCCCGCCAAACAATAATGACGGCTGCAACCAAAAAATAGCCGGGCGTTGCGGTGGGTGCCTATAGTCCCAGCTACTTGGGAGGCAGAGGCAGGAGAATCACCTAGCCCAGGAGTTGGAGAGTTGGAGGTTGCTGTGAGCTGTGATGCCACAGCACTCTACTCAGGGTGATAGCTTGAGACTCTGTCTCAGAAAAAAAAGAGAGACTTGACAGGGCTGTGCCTGTGGCTCAAGGAGTAGGATGCTTGCTCCATATACAGGAGGTGGCGAGTTCAAACCCAGCCCCTGTGGGGAAAAAAAAGAGAGAGAGAGAGACTTGACAGCTAAATGCAATGTATGTTCCTTGGTTGAATTCTGGAGTTATTTTTATTATTTTTATTTTTTGGAGACAGAGTCTCATTTTGTCACCCTTGGTAGAGTCCCATGGCATCATAGCTTACAGCAACCTCAAACTCTTGGGCTCAAGGGATTCTCTTGCCTCAGCCTCCCCAGTAGCTGGGTCTACAGGTACCCATTGCAACGTCCAGCTATTTTTAGAGACAAGGTCTCATTCTGGCTCAGGCTGGTCTCAAACCTGTGCACTTAGGCAATGCACCCACCTCGGCCTCCCAGAGTGCTAAGATTACAGTGCTCAGCTGGAGTTAACTTTTTAAAGAAACAAAACCAGGGCTGGGCATGGGGGCTTACACCTGTAATCCTAGCACTCTGGGAAGCCAAAGCAGGTGGATTGCTTGAGCTCATGAGTTGAAGGCCAGCCTGAGCAGAAGGGAGACACTTCCCCCCCATCCCTACTAAAAATAGAGAAAACTGAGGCAAGAGGATCACTTGAGCTGGAGTTGGAGGTTGCTGTAAGGTATGATGCCATGGCACTCTGCCCAGGGTGACAGCTTGAGACGCTGTCTTCAAAAATTAAAATAAAATAAAATACCCAAACCCCATAAAGGTCATTACTAGGAGAATAAAGTAATTTTAATATGGTTAAAATTGGTTAAATATGGTTTATGGTTGGGTCTGTTAAATTTCTTGGACATGATAGTTACGTTGTGATTGTCCAGGAACATATTCTTGTTCTAAGGAAAATATGTGTTGAAACACGCAGGGTGCAGCGTCACAATGCCTGCCACCCAGCTTTGAGGATGAGATGGAATAAGAAGCCAAGGAGAAATGAGAAAAATAAACCAGCCTCCCTCCAGACCAGACCTGGTGCCCTGAGCTGTCCCAAACCAAATCCACTGTGAGCAGGCGCCTCTGGAAATCCCCTCGGGCTGAGCAAGGAGCTGAAGGCTGCTGTGGGGGTGGGGCTCCCCATTTGGGGCCCAAAACTGGCTGAGCCCTTGGGCAGGGCCCCTGTGCTGCCAATTTCCTGCATGAGGCTGACCCGCCCGAATTTGGGGGTGCAGGGAGGCTGCACCCCAGGCACCACGGGAAGGGAAGGGAATGGAATGGCCCTTCCCCTTCCCCTGGCAGTGCTCAGATTTGAGGGCAGAACACTGATGTGGAGCGTGGGGTTGGTGGGGTGGTGCTTACCGCTGGGTTCCTCCTGGGTCTGGCATCTGTGAAAAGCAAAAGAGCAGAGACTTGACCAAGGAGGGTCTGGCTACACCCGACCGGCCCACCCCACCTGTAGGGAAATGGCTCCCCTGGATCGCAGGTGGCACTGAGCTTCCTCCAGGCAGGGGTCCAGTCACCAGGCAGGGGTCTAGTCCTCAGGTGGGTTTCAGAGTCAGCGCCCACCCCCGGGCCCGGGGCACAGGGGTTCACTCCCCGATACTCACTTCTCCTGTGGCAGTTGGAGAAGCTGAGACCACCTGTCTCCCCTGGCCACTCTTGTTTTCTTTTTTGAGACAGGAGCCTCCAGCTGTCCCCCTGGGTAGAGTGCCATGGCATCACAGCTCACAGCAACCTCCAACTCCTGGGCTCAAGTGAATCTCCTGCCTCAGCCTCCTGCGTAGCTGGGACCACAGGCACCCGCCACAACGCCTCGCTGTTTTTTGGTTGCAGCCATCATTGTTTGGCGGGCCTGGGCTGGATTCGAACCTGCCACCTTAGGTGTATGTGGCTGGCGCCTTAGCCACTTGAGCCACAGGTGCCAAGCCGCCACTCTTATTTTGTGCAACTAAGCCACTGAGGACCTGGAGCCCCTTCCTGACCCCCTAACCCGAGGATTGGCTCAGGAGAAGAACATGCCCCATGCTGAGCCCAGGTGGCTTCTGAGGGTCAGAAGTCGATCTGAGGCTCCTACTGCCACCTTGCAGCCTCCAGGTTGGGGACAGCCCAGAATCCCCTGAAGCACGCTATGAAACCCAGACAGAGGACCTCAAGGCAGGCCACAGAGAGAGGATGACAGAGTCTGGAGACGTTATCTGAATCCTGACTTGGACATACCTGGGGAACACTTTTGGCTCCAACCTGAGTCTCTTCCATGGTCCTCAAAGTGCCCAGGCAGCAGCATTTAAGGAGGACAAGGGCTTTTGCTCAAGGGATCTCACTTCCTTCAACCCCATCCTTCTGTGGCTCAGGAGGTGCTGACAACACGACCTTTACCCTTCCCCTCCACTCCCATTGTTCTCCCACGTTATACAGAGGCCAGGTCATGGCCAGGCATATACTGAATTCTAACCATGGCTCATTGTTCATTTGAGAAAGGTGACAGGGCACCTAGTCTACCCTAGGGCACGTCAACTCCCAGCATAGACCATCCTCCCCAGGACACCACCTGCACAGACTGGGAACACACTGTGGTGGGTGTGCAGACCCAGATGATAGATTTGCTGCCAAGATGCCAGGACACCAGTCACACTGCCTATGAACACGCTCCTGACTTCACAGCTCTAGGGACTGTCAGCTCTGAGTCCCGCTGATACTATGTACTATGTACACTCACTGAAAATCAATCAACAAGCAAGATAAAATACAAAGAAGGCTGGCAGTTTGGACGTGCTGTGTGGACACTAGGTTAGGGTAGGAAACACTCTTAGGGGTATCTTTTAAAGTGTCTAATGAGGTTTGGCGCCCGTAGCTCAGTAGGCAGGGTGTCGGCCACATACACCGAGGCTGGTGGGTTCGAGCCCGGCCCGGGCCTGCTAAACAACAATGACAACTGTAACCAAAAACTAGCTGGGCATTGTGATGGGCACCTGTAGTCCCAGCTACTCAGGAGGCTGAGGCAAGAGAATCACTTAAGCCCGAGAGTTTGAGGTTGCTGTGAGCTGCACTCTACTGAGGGCGACATAGTGAGACTCTGTCTCAAAAATAAATAAAAATAAATAAATAAATAAAATGTCTGATGGAGAGGCCAGGCACAGTGGCTCATGCCTGTAATCCTAGCATTCTGGGAGACTGAGGCAGGTGGATTGCTTGAGCTCAGGTGTTCAAGACCAGCCTAAGCAAGAGTGAGACCCCCATCTCTACTAAAAATAGAAAAACTAGCCCAGTGTTGTTAGGCACCTGTCGTCCCAGCTACTCAGAAGGCTGAGGTAAGAGGATCACTTGAGCTAGGAGTTTTGAGATTGCTATGAGCTAGGATGCCACAGCACTCTATCAAGGGTGACAGAGTGAGACTTTGTCTCAAAAATAAATAAATAGGCCTCACGCCTGTAATCTTAGCACTCTGGAAGGCTGAGGCAGGTGGACTGCCTGAGCTCAGGAGTTTGAGACCAGCCTGAGCTAGAGCAAGACCCTGTCTCTAAAAATAGCTGGTCATTGTGGTGGGCACCTGTAGTTCCAGCTACTTGAGAGGCTGAAGCAAGAGGATCACTTAAAGCCAAGAGTTTGCGGTTGCTGTGAGCTATGATGCCAGGACACTCTACCAAGGATGACAAAGTGGGACTTTATCTCAAAAAATTTAATTAAATAAATAAATACAGTGTCTGACAAAGAAAGGGACCAGAATGATGGTGAAAGAAGCCCATGTGTACAATGGCATGACTGGTTCCAGGGTGACACGTGTGCCAAGTTTCCTTATCCTGTAACTGCCACCCCGCGCAGAGTGGTCACCCGGGGAGTTCGTGGCTCATTCCCTCGAGGGAGCCACTGCCCACGGCCTTTGCCACCACGTTGAGAAACGCTCTCTGACCTGAGGCACATTCTTTTCAATGATGTCAGTGAAGCCAAATCATGGTCCTTCCTGGGTGATTTTAAGTTTTGCAAACAGCCAACGGTTAGTGGGTGCCAAGTCATCGGGGTAGCCAGGAAAAAAAAGAAGAGGGGGTTGTACAACCAAATAACAAGATGAAGTAATGATACAACTCGTCCTTGGAGAGGAAGTGGGTAAGCAGGGGCACCGAGCTGCCCGTGCCCTGGGGGTCACTTCCATTTTTCTAAAGAGTCGTCTGGCAACGAAAACCTCACCCCCTTCAACACAACGTCCCTCTCCGGGGAACACACCCTCAGGAAATAACCTGAAAGAAAACAAAAAGGCTGTACACCGCAGTGGTATTTACAATAACCCCAAACTTGAAAACAAGGCAAACACCTGTGAGCTGTCCCAGAGCGGGCGCCCCCTTGGCAGTGAACCAGCACGGCATGACTTCCCTTCTCCGAGCCTTAGTCCTCTTGTCTGGAAAATCCAAGGCATCACCCCCGCTGCACATAGGGTAGTGTGAAGATGAAGCAAGACCCGGAAAGTGAGGGGCCCGGGGGCTCATGACATTGAGAGCAGGAGCCTTCGGTCTGACAGGATGAGAACGGCACCTCTGTGGTCCCCTAAACCCATAACCTGGGCCTTACGGGGAGGAAAACATGAGACAGAACCCAGTAGAGAGACCCGCAAAATACAGAATCAATGCTGCTCAAAAGTGTCAAACCCATCAAGGTCAAGGACACTGGTCTGAGAATCTGTCAGAGACTGGAGGGGTCTAAGGAGATGTGCTGAGTACATGTACTGTGGGTTCCGATGGGATCCCGGAATATTAGGTAAAACGAGGTAAATCTGGATAACATATGGGTTTTAGCGCCTAATACTGCGTCGGTATAGTTCATGTATTGTGGCAAATGTACCACGTTAATGTAAGATGTTAATAACAAAGAAAACTGGGTGTGGGGTTAATGGGACTCCTGTACTATCATCTCAAATTTTCCATAAACTTAAAACTGTCCTGGCTCGGCCCCTGTGGCTACAGCAGCTAAGGCGCCAGCCACATACACCTAAGGTGGTGGGTTCGAATCCAGCCCGGGCCCGCCAAACAACAACGACGGCTGCAACCAAAAAATGGCCAGGCGTTGTGGCAGGCGCCTGTAGTCCCAGCTACTTGGGAGGCAGAGGCAAGAGACTCGCTTGAGCCCAGGAGTTGCAGGTTGCTATGAGCTGTGATGCCATGGCACTCTACCGAGGGGGACAGCTTGAGGCTCTGTCTCAAAAAAAAAAAAAAAAAAAAACTGTCCTAAAAAGTGAAATCTATTGGGTGGCACCTGTGGCTTAGTGAGTAGGGTACCAGACCCATATACCAAGGGTGGCAGGTTCAAACCCGGCCCCGGCCAAATTGCAAAAAAAAATAGCCAGGTGTTGTGGCGGGTATCTGTCGTCCCAGCTCCTCGGGAGGCTGAGGAAAGAGAATCACCTAAAGCCCAAGAGCTGGAGGTTGCTGTGAGCTATGATGCCACTGCACTCTCTACCGAGGGCAACAAAGTAAGACTCTGTCTCAAAAAGGTGAAATCTATTTAGAATTTCTAATATTTTAAATATTAAAAAGAGAGGCTCAGTGCCTATGGCTCAAGTGGCTAAGGCACCAGCCACATACACCTGAGCTGGTGGGTTCAAATCCAGCCTGGGCTCACCAAACAACAATGACGGCTGCAACCAAAAAATAGCCAGGCATTGCGGTGGGCACCTATAGTCCCAGCTTCTTGGGAGGCAGAGGCAGGAGAATCACTTGAGCTCAGGAGTTGGAGGCTGCAATGCCACAGCACTCTACCCAGAGTGACAGCTTGAGGCTCGTCTCAAAAAAAAAAAGTGCTGTAATGGTTCAGTGCCCATAGCTCAGTGGTTAGGGTGCCAGCCACATACAGTGGGGCTGGCAGGTTCAAACCCAGCCCTGGCCTGCTAAGCAACAATGACAACGGCTTTCTCCCCCTCTCCCCCTCTTCCTTCCTGCTCTCCCTCTCTCTCTTCTCTTCCCCACTCTCTCCTCTTCTCTCTTTTCTCTTCTCTTTTTCTCTCCTCTTTGGTGCTGCTCTGCAGCCTCCCTCCTCCATCAATAAAGACCTTCTGTACAAAAAAAAAAAAACAATGACAACTGCAACAAAAAAAATAGCTGGGTGTTGTGGTGGGCACCTCTAGTCCCAACTGAGACAAGACAATTGGGAGGCTGAGGCAAGAGAATTTGCTTAAGCCCAAGAGTTTGAAGTTGCTGTGAGCTGTGACATCACAGCACTCTACCGAGGACGACATACTGAGACTATGTCTCAAAAATAAATAAATAAATAAAAGTGCTATATTTCCCCTCAGGAGCAGGGAAGCAAGACTTGATACTTTAAGATTAGAGCCTGTTGGGTGACTCACTCATTCCTGTAATCTTAGCACTCTGGGAGGCCAAGAGGGACAGATTGCTTGAGT